CGAACACCTATCTCGTGGGCGTAAAAAGTCTGCTGACCTTGAACTTTACCGCGGCGTACAAAGTCTGCCCGTGCGAACGCACGCTAACTGTGGTTAAATGTAACCATCGTGGGTGGCTTGGTTAATTAAATTTGATAAACGACAAAAAATAATTATTACTAAATCAAGACATACGAAAAAATTCTTTATCGAAAGCACACTACCCAGTAATCTCTAATCATAACCAAGCACTTGACCTTTCAAAGATAGAATAACCTTAAACACCGTTTATGCAAAACAAAGTTATAATTAAATATGATACAATCGTCGCTTAACTTAACTTGATCATAAACATAACTTTTTTAGTAGAAGGCTAATTTCGCAAACTTGGCTAATTTTGGCAACAACTTAAACTTCAAACCCCTAATTGGATAACTTCGTGAATTGTCATATCAGATATAATAAACAATATTTATGTTTTTATGTGGATTTTTCCAAATTAAACTCACAATAAAATTATCTTTTAAGCTAGTTTTTAAGCACAATTTAATCATCTAATTTCGAAATATATTTACATTAATTGTCATCCTTATAACTAAAAATTTCGTCGTCATAGATCGTCGCAAAACTAAATGAAATTGAAGCTTCGATATTGATTTACTACAAAATTGAATTAGAAAATCACACATTTAATCTAAACATGTTTAAATTGTTACATTCTGTAACGGTTATTGTGCAATGTATCGGTTTTTCAAGTTGATAGTCAGCGTGGTTTGGACACTTACGTTCGTAACCGGTGAAATCAAGTTTAGATAAACATATACGTTGTCATCATTATAATTAAATGCCAAATGGACCACAGGCCATGGTCATTACATTTAAATAAGATAATAAAAACACAACTTATTCAAATACATCATGCCTATTCATATAACATGATAAACATTATGTATAGAGAAATGTATATCATTTTCATATCGCTTAATTGTTTATAAAAGATTACTCTTCTGTAGAATAACTATTCCGACAATCTCGTCTTAAATTACCTCATTCTTTATTCCTAAAAATATGTTTGTCCAATTCCCACATTAAAACAAAATATTTGGGAAATAACTTAGAAGGGGTAAACTTTATCTTGAAAGCAACCTTATTATATCGCAATCCTACATATTGTTATTTTTAGAAAATTGAAGATAGTTTATAGAAAACCAACTTGCAAAATATTTTATTGCATTGCGTTCTAATGTTAGTTTCTGCTTACCTCCGGGATGCGTGAGCGTGTTTGGATGCACGAAGCCATCTTTGTGCAGCAACAGATGCCGTGGCTCCGTTGCCAGGTAACAGGTCGAGCCGTCAGCGAGACACTTCTGGAAGCACTTGGCGGCCTGATAAAACAAGGCCCAAGCGTATTCCTCGCCGATGGTTGAGTTGAACGCCTGCAGTATCTGCTGGAGATTTAAGCAATCGTAAGCGTCCAGGGAGACGTCGGCCCCGGGCGCGCCGGCACCTTCCTTGCGCATCATCGCGCTACCCGGCGGCTATCGGTTGCATTCTAATGTTTACACACTCCTATATGCACCACACCGGTCAATTTTGTTCACCATGAATTTGTTCTATTTCACGCGGCACTGTAAATTTGTGATACGGATTATTGAAATTTGCGTTTACATCAATACACTACGTGCTGAACTGTCATCGCGTCCACCTAAACGTCACTGTCAAATTGTTTGCATTTAATAAGTGGGTGGCGTAAAAAATTGTTTCAGATTGTTTTGCGTGGTTGAGATCGCGAGAGCGCGTGCGCGACCGCTCGCTAGACGAACACACACGACGTACATTCACGACGAAGGCTCGTGCCGGACTGGCGGCCGGCGACGAACACGGGCGCGTTTCGCCGCAACCTCCCGGCTCCGGATCCAATCCAAGATGCTCTCCGTCCCTACCGCGGACCCGGACCGCATTACTTCCTTCATCATTACGGCACTACACCAACACTGAACCACTGCATTAACATTAACAGTAACAAAGATCGTTTAGGTTTAGAATTTCACTTTAATTACTTCTAAACGCAAAAACGTATATATCCTTACACTTGAAATTCTTAAATGAAAAATGGCAAACGCCTTTCAAGGCTGATAAGGTAATTATTGATATTGAACTATTTTATTAGTCTTTATCTTATCAGGTCGATTGAAGCTCGCTTTTGATAAGCGGACAGTAGACAGTAGCGTAGGATTGAAATAAAATAACAGCTCGTTTATACTTTTTTTTAATGATTATAAATTTACATGTTAATATTACAAAACATTACAACACAGTGATCCATTATATAATTTAGTAAATTTTCAAATTCTATACTATGTAATGTAGATTCTCAATGACATACATTTTTTTTAATACTGCTTATACCATTTTAAAGCAATTTAATCACTAGATACAGTGGTACAATGTGTAATTATAATTTATAATATCAGTTCATTCTAATCTAGCATTTGTGAAACAAAACGCATAACACTAGCCTAACTATTAATATCGTTTTTCTATTAATATGTATTACATTATAATATAATATAACAGTAAAGAGAACCTTTGTGTTGACTGTTAAAATAAACAAAGGAATGTTAAGAAAATTAGACCACAATCGTAGTAAATTTTATAGCAGCCATAATTTATAAGAATGCATAAATTAATCAGATGTATGTAGAAGCGAGACGGGGTTAGTCTTTTTAACTTTTGCCCGTATACGTTGGTGAAACACCTGTAAACGCATACTGTTCTCTTTTTTTCATATAAGAAAGACGACATCTGTTTTGTACACGTGTTTCGGCAATGGAAACGGTAATGTGTTCATTCTATTGATTTATTTCGTTTTATACTCAAGTAAACCGTAGAATGTAAAAAAAATAAAAGGAATTTTTAAACTTTGAATAAATACAATATCATAATTTTTATTTTCTAATTTACGATAATAATTTTGACAAACGTATTGATGTAGGAGATAGCAAACACGGAATACAATTGGAAAGAAAGAGATGAATATAACTTCGTCTTTTCCTTTATCTCCAAGCAGATATTTTTGGGAAATGCAATATTGAATTACATATTGTAAATCTTTCAATGCACTTAAATTCGAGATAAAACACGAGAAATAGAAGATAAATCAACATTAGTGTGATAAAATAAGCTTTAACAAGGATTTATTAGGAGCGCACGCACCTTAGACTAAACTATCTTACAACTGTGCGATCGTCGATTGTTTCGCAGCCAATTCAACTGTTTAGTTGCACGACTAAAAATCGAGTAATGTGCGCACCTCCATATAAGCTCATAGGAATCAAAGCTAGACTAAACAGTTGTGCGATAGTTTAGTTTTAGGTGTGCTCTCTAAAGTGTGATAAAAGAAACTGTAGTAAGGATTTATTGAAATATACAATGCAATGAATTAGTTAAAATAACAATGCATAGAAGTCCAATACATTTAAGTTTGACATTTCTGTTTATTATCTGTTCTTTTCAAAATGAATGACAAGGATGTCAACATATTCTTTTTCGGATGTTTGACAGTTTTTGGTAATTTTTAATGAAGTTTTTTCATATCCATATATGTAGGAGAGACAAGGATAACGCAATAAATCTACATGCGATTTGACCTTAAGGTCATGTGTTTGATCAATACGCAGAGTAATTAGAAATCCAATTATGCAAAGTCTATATTTAACTATGATTTCTCATATTGATAAAATGGTGTAATCAATTACACATCTTTTGCCTTATTAGGCCAATTCCTACACAGTAATTGTATGAATGCGTAAAAAATGTACATGTTTGTTGATCCCCAAAAATTACGAACGTGAAAGCCTTACCTTATATTCAAAGATTAATATTGTCAAAAATACTAAAAAACCAACCCTTAATACTACGCTTAGATTTTCTTTATTCATACAGCAGTCTAGTTAATTCATACTTTAATGAAAGTCAAATAATTAATGAAAAATATATGGCAATATCTATATTGGTTTTGACCAGTGTAAAATGTTGCGATAAAATTTTATTCCTTAAAAAAAATCATAAGTATCAAGACAATAAATACAAACAAATGGAATTTTGGTAAAAACGATATATAACACTATCACATTTATTTGGTCAAAAAAACACTATCATTTTTTCTTGAGGCTCCAGAGTGGGTCCAAGAAGTTAAGGGGATCCTTCATATCCCCGCTCTTAAGGCCGGGAGATTGTCGCATTTCTTCGAAGGATTCCCGAGAGAACTTCTGTACTCGGGTAGCGGTAGCATCACTAGCTGTAGGGGTATTAGTGGATACCGGCGCGGTAGGAGCTCGGGGTAGTACACCTGCCCCGCTTTGCACTGATACCGCTTCCCCGCTGAACATTGTCGTACCTGGTAAATCATACTAATATTATAAATGCGAAAGTTTAGATGGATGGATGTTTGTTAGAATTTGTAGCCTAAACGGCTGAAATTTGGTATAGATGTAGAAGAAAGTCTGGATACATGGGCTACTAACTTTGGTTTTTTTAATTCCAAGCGTATGGAGTCGCGGCGAAAGGTAGTATACCATAAATGTGGGTTTCCATTGATGAAACATAATGCTACCCTTCGTTGTAAAATCAATGTAAACAATAAATAGTCGGACATGAAATTTCACGACCACAATAATTTAAATAACATTATTCCTTAATTTCGTGCATAGATTTCTTTTGCTTACAATATTTTGCAAACAGCAAATTCAAGAAAACAAACAACAATGTAGTAAAAGGTAAACTATTCGAGTCACGAAATCCGGCGTCAATTTTTAAGCAACAACAAACAGATTGTTGTTTCCAAAAACATCAATAACACGTTAATTCGGTGATAAGTTAATTCAAAATAATAAAGCAATTAGCAAATCAAACATATGTTCCTTAATATGTTTTCGTTTTAAATATACAATACCATTTAGAAATGACACCCACATTTACTGTAAAGTTTACTGCAATCAGGCTATTTAATTTATCACTAAAGCAGTGGCTTAGTATTTATTATGTATTACAAACACTCAGTGAGGGTCTAAGTAACCTGATTACATCTACAGTATAGACAGAGATAGCAATATGATGATATCTCACCGGAGCAGAGCACGCCCTGCGCGTAGAAGAGTACAGTTTTGTACGCGTCGGCCAAGTACTTGGTATCCTCCAGCACGTTGGTGCGATGCTTGTAGAGGTTTATACATGCAGAATCCAGCATATCTAATGTGGAATAAAAATGTACACTATAAAAACAGAATATTTCCGAGTGATATTTAATTGGTGCTATTGGCTTGTAATTTTTATTTCTTTCCGACACTTTTGATTTTTAATGCCAACCTAAGTCGCGGGCGAAAGCTATAACTTCTATAGCAATGCGACGCTATCTTACCGCACAGTGTGACGTCACCGGCGCGCACTTGACACATAGCGAGCAGTAGGACAGCGAGCAGCGCGCTGCGGCCCGCGCCCGCGCCGCACTGCAGGCACGCGCCCGCAAGCTGGTTGCTCAGCCGGCCTGAGAACGTGCTCGCCAGCACGCGCTCGCACAACAACACTAGCGGCCTGCACGATATTCTGAACAAGTATTCATTACTGTAGCTACAACTGACTTTACACCATAAAATGAGTCCTGTAGAATACAATTTTAGCAACGCGTAGATTCATAGGTCCCTTGTTCATTGACATACCCCTCCCCCATTTGATAATTGTTCCCACCCCCTAAATTAACGGCTGGAGCCGCTAAATATATTAAAACTGGCCGAATCATATCGATAAAGAAAATAAGAAATTATAGTCACAAATGTAATCTATACTTCTATACTAATATAAAGAGTAAAACTTTGTTTGTTTGATTGTAATGAATAGGCTCAAAAACTACTGGGCCGAATTTAATAATTCTGTCACCGTTAAAAAGGTTATTTTTCTGTAAGTAACATAGGCTATATTTTTTCATTTATTACTATTTAATTTTAAATTTTATAAAGAATGAAATAATAAACATGGATATGTTGAATTAATGACAATAGCAGTCAAAAACCTTATTTAACTTAGTGTAATGATGTTTATCGTATCACTTACTTAGCAGGAAACACGTTGATCTGGTAATGAGTGATATTGAGGACAGTTTTCCCATTGCTGAGGACCAGCTTCCTCTCCGTCCAGTGCACGGTGCACGTTACCTCTTCCAAGCTTACCCTCACACCAGCAAACTCAAGAAATTGACCCTTTGCTGTTGGCCAATACGATAAACCTTGCATCTGAAAATCAAAACCTTTAAAATTGAAATATCCACCAACAAAAAATCTATAAATTCCTATATTTTGTAGAGCAAATTAGAAGAAAACCTATTTCTACGTACCTCGATCTCACTCAGTAAGCAAACAACGCACACAATCTTGTATTCCAGAATTGCCTTCCAGAATGTTCCAGCATCATTTTGCGTCGGACATTTTGAAATCATTAGAGGTATACACCATGGAGCCAATTGCTATAACATATTTTCATTTAAAACAGACTTTACAGAATACGAAAGATTTTAGACTTTATTTCTATTAACTGTAAAGTTGTAAATACCTTGTAGTAAGAAGCGTTGATGTACGCGTCCGGGTCAGATTTGAGCACCACTCTAGAATCATCGAAAGGCACAACTGCAGTCGCGATATTTCCTTCACAATGCTGCATAGCAACTGTTTTCGTACGACTCATATTTTCTTTCATCTAAAAATGTAATCATTTAGTATTTCCAGTAAATTTCAAAATGTAGTATTTAATTTAGAATATTGGATCTTACCTGAATATCTTGTAACATTTTCCATTTAGCATCCAAAGTCGTAACTCCGCCGGCGATTGTATTCGTCAATGAATCAGTCATGTTTTGTAATTGTTTTACTTCTTGAGTGAATTTGTTCAACAAACTCGGATCTGAGAATATATCTTGTTTTGCCGGCCTTTCTATTATTTCCTTTTTAGGCACTGGTTTAACTATAGGTTCTGTTTTAGGCACGATTGTTGGTTTTATAACAACCTTTTCAGACACTTGAGGCACTTTTATTTCAGGCATTAATGGCTTGTAATCCACATTGAAATCAATATCAGAAAGTAAATCAAATGTCGTCGGTTCAGTTTTTATTTCTGGTTTAACTTCAGTTTTTTTTACTTCGGGCTCCGGTGGGACAGTTTTTACTGTTGCATTTTGTTTGTTCGTGTCGATGTTTTGTTTGATCGGTTCTTTTTCTTTAGGTGACACTAAAAAGGAAGAAATAGATTATAAATAAAATGCAATTTATTTTTAACAAATCTTTATTGCTAACTACATTACAATAAATTCGGTTAACTTTTATACAAATATACATTCATGAAAATATTATTGTAAAATGTTACAATATCTTACCTTGGGTATCAGTGTAAGTGACATTTGTTTCGGGAACAACTCCCGATTGCATGTATGTGGAGTGATTCATCTCTGAAGTATAATTAGTTGCTTCTGGAAAGTTCTGTTGCGGGACATTTGGCTGACTGGTATTAGGCACTTGGGTATTCTGATATCCGTATGGATGATTGTAGTAAATCTGAGTGTTTATCGACTGTTCATTAGAGATCTGTTGTATCTGAGGATTGTCTGAAGGTGACTGCACTGTGTTACAGACTCCTGCATTAGTGTACATCGTTTGTTGATTCCAATTTGGATCTTTTGCAGTTAACTGAGAGTCCATATTCGGTTGTTCGACTCCTCCGTAGTTGGTATAGGAATTTTGTGATCCATAATTGTAGTCGTAATTACCGGTGGAACTGTTATAAGTGTAACCGGGATGGTTTTGGTAATTTTGATCTTGATAGTAAGTATTCGATGTTTGATAGTTTTGGTCGTTTGGGGGATTTACGGCTGTATAATTCTGATAACTGGATTGGATGTCCATGGAGGACAATGCCTCTCCGGTGACGTGTGACTTGATAGGTTTGTCTAATGCGTCTAGTTGTGACATTGAAGTGTTGTACTCTGGATTAGAGTCAGTAGGAACGTAAGGGTTAGAGACAGTAACGGGTGCACTGACTACACAGGTAGTGGATGTGACGGCACTCTCCGCGTTAGTGTACATGTATGTCTGTGGCATAGTTGCGGCATCTTGCCCGCTCGTATAGTACTGCGTGGCAAACGCATTCGATACATTCGGTTGAACAGTTTGTGGGTATTGGTTACCCATTTCCGCGGTGTAGTTGTAATTTAAACTGTATTCTGAAGGCAGTTGGGAGGAGACGCTGCTGGTTTGTGAGTCCTGTGGTGCATGGCTGTATGTGGCCATGTTCGCTGAAGGTACATGTTGGTATTGCATGCTGTAAAACGTTTGTGAATACTCGTTAGGCAAATTGGTGGATTCAGATTTGTTCTGTTGATTGATTGGTGCGGTAACTTGCATTTGGGCAAAGTTTGCTGTCAACTGTTCTTGATTAGCTGAATTGTACATTGTATTATCTGGGATGGGTCCAGCTTGGTTGGCTTGTGTGTAGGGATCGTACATATAAGGTTGTACGTTAGTGTTCGCTGGATTAATGTTTTGATAGTTAAGTGAAATTTGTGAATCTGAGACGAGTGTTGCATTGTTATGTGTAGCGGAGTAGTATGGGTTGGTGTAAGTTTGTGGGTCTGCCATTTGGCTGGAGTACTGGGGTGGTGTGTAGGAAGTGTAGCTGTAATTGGACATGTCGTCTACTGGCTTGTCAGTATTAGGTTTGCTTGCTGCGGGATATGCGTACGTATGTTGAGCGGAGTAAGGGTCAACTTCGCTTGGCGCGTACGGAGCGCTGTAACGTCCGTAAGGATTTTGTACATTATGAATAGCTGAAGGCATTATTACTCCATCAGGTAAACTCATTGGTGTTATATCGGTGGCTGAAATAACAAAACATATCTTGAAGTAAAATCCTACTTTACGCTATATTTTTATTTTTAATAGCACTTTTAAATTTATAAAATTACCTTCAGATCCGACAGGTGCAGGTCGCGCAGATGTAGGATAAATAGTTTCTGGGTAATATGTCTCAGCTGGTAAGGGATCAACTTGGGCTAAAACAAAAACGAGATGACACCGAATATTTTTTGGAAAACACTATTGCCAAAGACTACGACAAACACACAATTATATTTCATAAGAGTTATTTCTATTTACAGATATGTATTTAATACGTTACCTTGCGGAGTACGGCTTCTCGTCAAAGCCCTGTTCTTCATATAAGGCAGATAATCCTTAAGTTTAGGCGTGGCTGTAGTGCTCAGCGGTACGGGGATGGGGTCTGGTGTTTTCGCTACTGAAGCACTTGCCGGTGCCACATTGGCAGCTATAAAATACCATAAAAACCTCTAACTGTTATAGACACTTTTTCGTTTCCTTCTTTTAATATATTTTTTCCATATCATATGACGTATTTTTTAATTTAGATGTGAGTATAATATAAGAGGTAAGATGAAGTACAAAAAACCAATATGTTTTAGAAAAATGTAACCTAATATTAAAAAAATAACAAATAGACTAATTTTCATTATACGAGTCAACGAGTCATCATATAGGATTCTTCTTCTTCTCAAAATCTCATATTATCTTAGTGTACTTACGCTTGGTCTGGTTGGAGAGCATCTGCTGGCGCTCCTCGTGCTGCACCTGGCAGGTGCTGCGCAGCCGCGCCAGCAGCTGCGCCACGTTGTGCGCCAGCTTGCGGTAGAACTCCAGCCCCTTCTGCGACTTGCCCAGCAGCTCCTCGTACGCGTCGTACGATGTCACTAAAGCTGATATACAAAAACACTTATTTTGTATTTGTGTCACCAGCTATACGTCCCCATTACTCGAAATAAGGTGACTAGATCTTAGTCAACCATACTGGCCCACAGCGGATTGAATTCACAAATATCTTTGAATTTCTTCGCCGATATGTGCAAAAAAAGGTAAAAAAAATATTGTCCTTCATCACTAAAAAGACAAAAAATTAAGATGGAAATATATTTACTGCAAATCAAGACGAGATATTTTGTTTTTTTTGCCCTTGTATCTGTTTCACAATTGTTGACATTTAAATTTTATTCAGTTAGCTGTTGCTCGCGTGAAATTAAGTTTCTCTCTGATAACGTAGCTTTTTAATGGTGAAAGAATTTTTGATATCGGCCCAGTAATTTTTGAGTGATTACAATATATACAAATCTGTCCTTTTATGATACTCGTGCTCGCTCACACCACACTGACCATTGATAAGTCCGTCCCTCTTGCGCAGCACGTCAGCGAGCAGGCGCCGCGACTCCGCGTACGTCGCGTACAGCGTCGTCAGCTTGTTGATTATGTTCTCCTGCGCTGCTAAGTTCTGTTCTATTATTTTCACCTAAACATAAATCAAATTATATTAACAATTATAATATAATGAATAGAAATTATCTTTTACGATTTCGTACGCGGGGATTTAAAAAAAAACTATTAGTAACCTTTTTTTCTTTCAGACTATATTCTACATCTGTACTAAATTCATTTAAAAGAATTAAACCGCTCTGAAGACACGTTTTTTCTTACATAAAAAAGGGGGCAAACGAGCGACGGGAACACAGTGATGAGAAACATCCATCCATACATGTTACACACTTATAATATTAGTAAGATTGTATTGCTAAAGTTGCTAGCAAATTAAAAGATCTTCTAATTTAGAGAAATTTAATATGCAATGTCAATCAGCTGAAGAAGTCGAATTCGCGCCATAAACGGATAGCTCCATCTCTGTCATATGAAAGGCAATGAAAGGGACAGATACCTTTGGCGCGTGCTTCTCAATCTCCTCACGGAAGATGTCGTCGGCGGCGTCGTTGCGCGCGAGCAGCTTGGCGGTGACGTCATCGGCGGCGAGCGCGGCGCGCAGCTGCTGCACGAGCGCGTCGCGCTGCGCCTGCATCTCGCGCGCCTTGCCCACCACGCGGACCATCTCCTTCATAGTTTCACGGTCTAGACCCTCTGGACGAATACAGAAAAAAAACATATATACACCTTTTTTAGTGCGTTTAATTAATTAAAATTAAAATTTAAACTACCTATCTATACTAATATAATAAAGCGTAAACACACACTACTTTGTGGCGCAAGATGACAGCAACCACAGCAAATTTTTGAATATTTTTTTATTTAATAAAAAGCCGTACATTTACACCACGCTTTAGGCTACGTATTTTCACGCTATTAAACTTAAGGGGTAAATAAATTGGAAAATTCATGTGTAAAAGGGACCATAAACTACAAGCTGCCAACATTAAGGAAGCAAGGGTATTATGGTAACGGTATTTTTGTGCAATTAAGAATTTGTCAAAAGTAAACAATAAAATAATATATAATTTCATGCGGATGAAGCCGGACGGGGACAGCTAGTTGTAATAATAAGTAGTCAAACATTTTGCTTAAATATATAGATTGCTTTAAACAATAACGTAACGGTAACAAGGTTGCTGCAATAGCGACAGCAGCAGGTACCGGGAGGGCCCCCTACGCGGCGTAAAACATAATTAATGTGGAGAAGGTCATCAGTAAGAGTAGCCGTAGAAAGAGATAGAGAAATTGATGATAGAGCGTCGAGATAAAAAAAGGATTCGAATCCCGCCATGTACCAAAGTATTTTTCGATTTCAAATTTCATATGAACATTTACGCAACATTTTTATGGTAAAGGAAAACATCGTGAAAAGGCACATAATTCCAAAATCCTCAAAATTTGTATAAACTAGCATTAAACAGCATTAGAAACTAGACCAACGTGGTTGACTAAAGCCTAGTCAATAATTTAAGGCTCTGAGCCCCCCAGAGGGGACTTATATGGATTAATGAGTGAAATACCCAATAAAACGATTTGAAGAACGAAAACTGCACCTCCACTGTAAGATAAAAAATATCGAATTTCATACCAATATTGTCGATCGTCGGTATCTTGGCCTGCAGCAGGTCCAGCGGCTGCGCCAGCAGGCGCAGGTTGGCGATGTGCAGCGTCATGGCCTTGTGCAGCACCTGGTTGCTCTCGTTGGTGCGCGTGTGCGCCTCCTGGTACTTGTGGAACTCGCGCGAGATCTCCGTCTGCACTATGGAGGGCGGGCGCGGGCCCATCACCTTCTGGTATTCCTTTTCTTTTAATGTTTCCTCCTGTACAAATGGATTTTCTGTATATCTTATACGCTATCAGCAATCACCAAGGATATCTTATAGGAGTACCGCCTAGGGCGTAAAGGGGCGTCTCAAGTGCAGATAAGGGCGTTACCGTCGTCTTCTTTCGGTCTGGTTTAACTAAATGTAGCACTGGCTACCGGCGCAGTAATGCTAAAACCGGCCCTATTTCATAATGTGGTTTACTGAGAGAAATTATGAGAGGATCTTCCTTAGTAATCAGTATTCAGTCTATTCACTAAGAAACTCCCTCATCGTAGTATATTGTTCGAATCTTGAGTTAACCTTTATAAACCACTCAAAACTTTGAGTGTGGTGGTAATTGGCAGTTGTAAATTTAAGCAAAAACTAAACTATACGAAATAAATGAGGATCGTATGAACATATTAAAAAATATTTCAGACATACTTGAATAAGTCCCTTGATTTCAGATAATGAATGTTCCACATCGCTGATCACTTCAGCCAAGTTGTTCATAGAGTCAACTAAAGACTGAATGATCTCCGTCTTCGCATTCATTGCCGCACATCTGTCTACTATCTCTTGAGGTATCCTTGACAAAGAAAAGAAAATAAAACAAAAATTGGAAATAATGCTTGCAAATAATATAAAAAATGCCTATGTTAGTCAGTATTTATGTAGCTTTCTATTATCTTACTAATATTATAAATGCGAAAGTTTAGATGGATGAACGGATCTCGATGAAATTTGTCATAGACATAAAGGATAGTCTGGAAGAACACATAGACTACTCACTTTTTTCTTTTTTTTTTTTTGACGCGGACAGAGTCATGGTCGATAGCTAGTATATTTATAATTTTAACAAGTAAATTAGAAACTCAGTTCACAAACTCACTTCTGATCGGAATCCAGTACTTCCAGCTGATCGATTTGCAGAGAGGACATGAACTCTGTCAGTTCAGTATTCTTGGCATCTACCTGCCCGGCAACCAGCCGGAGCAGCTTGGCCTTCTCCTCGGAGTACAGCGAGGCCGCTTCATGCGCACCCATTGGTACCAGCCGATTGAATATATCCACACCTGAGATCTAAATATAAAATAAATTATAGTATTCATAATTATAGTTAAATCTCTCTGGAAAATGAATTTCATTGTTTATTCAAAAAAGTTTTTCACAAAATACATTATGGTGTTTTAAAGCCTCTTAGACTCAAAACAAGAAAACAAAGGGGTGGCAAAGAAACAACCAGACACTTGAATTTGCCGAAAAACGAAGCGATCGCTACAAATAAACATCAGCAATAGCAAATAAATTGACTAAAGAAAACAAAAAACAGCATTTACACATTAGAAACCATAAAGAGTATGAGATATAATTATTTAGATTGCAGTACCTCGGGATCATTAAAATTAATGGGTACAGCTTTCACAAGACAAGCTGGCTTTAAATCCATCAATAAATCTTTTTCCGGCACTTCCTCATGATAAATAAATTCATTTTCATTCTTAGCAGCCTTTCTCTTCCCCTCAACAACATCGTTAGTAAATGTCAACACTTCTTGAGTCACTTGCACTGGTTCTATGTATTTTGCCAGTTTCCTTGCCTCTGCAAGTTTGTCTACCGAATGTTGGTAATAAGCCACTCTTTCTCCAAACTTCTGTTGTTCTTCTGCATTCAATCCTGAAAAATATATATCCATATTTAATAAGAGCATGTTCATAGTTGTCTAATATCTTCAAAAATGTTACATTGTCATAAGTTTTGCCCACAACTTTGTCCTTACAGAGACCTTAAGAAGAATTATTTTTATATGAGAAGGGGGCAAACGAGCGTCGGGAACATAAAGGTGGTCAACGACGCCCATGGACATCTGCAACACCAGAGGAACTACAAATGTGTTGCCGGCCTTTAAATATAGTAAACATAGCCTTTCTTACTTAGTGATAATGTATTTTTCTAATGATAAAAAAAAAACATTATTACAATTAACAACTTATTCACAACAAAGACAAAATGTTGACAAAATAGTAGGTTATATTTGAGTTCATATCTTATCAAAACACCTTTGTGATAAATGATTCATACCTTGATATAAACAAACAACACAGCCAATGTACGCTGCTTTGAATGACAGGTAGCGATGCCAGTAGTTGTAAAGCTTGGTGCCAATTATCTCATGAATATTGTCCGTGCCAGTCGATGGTCCAAGATGAGCCAAAGAGTTCTTGTAAAATAATAATACTTGAGTCGCTACGGCACCTGAAATAAAATTTTAATTTCAACACAAGCTTCTCTATACTTACTAGAAAAATAAAGGACTTTGTAAATGACCAAGTCTGTAATATTATGATATTGTGCGATTATGAATTTCATGATTCAAATATAGTGAATAGAATAAAATTCATTATGTCATTTATAGAGCACTTAAAATATCTTACCAATAACACTATGTTTTCTGGTATCCTGAATACTTTTATTTAAAATACATTCCTGGGCCTGAGCAAAGCATATTTCTTGTAAAAGGGAAAGTATTTCACATGACACATCAGCACCGGGTGGCTGCGGGAACTGTTCTTTCAGGTGGTTGAATGCCCAAGCAGCCTGCTGATAGTGGGTGCAGGCTGCTTTTAGACTATCAGGTGTGGTGCGAGACTCAGCTGCACCCAACTGGGTATGGAGTGCACCAATGTTGTATAAAATGCTTGCCATTTCAAACCTAATGTCAGCTAAAGTGCAACTCATATTAGCATAAAGGTCCTTCCTAAAATTATACAAGATCATTAACAGGTTTTATAAAGTTTACTTAATTTAATCTAGCATATGTTTCGTTAAAATTGTATTTGGATCTATTTATATTTTTTAACTAAACTGTTCAATAATGTTTTGACAGCAACTAAAAAGGGTTTGTTTTATTGTTATGATGTAGGAAATGTTCATTTATATGTATTTCTATGTTGAAACAACAAAATCTTTGTATATTATGCTCCTTTTGAAATTGTTGTACAACTCATACCAGCATAATTGACGATTATTAAGTAGGACAACAAAAGATCAATATGTATCAGTGTATGTTTATAATCTAATTACGTTATTACCAAGCAAAGCTGCAGGCGACTGGTTGACCTTTTGCCATTGGGAATCGACTCTGCATTGCCCTCAACTGACAAAAATATCGGTTCAGGGAACTAAGACCTGCTGCGTCAATAGTTGCTCTCACGGCGGCCGAACGCAAGCCTTCCAATTGATGGATTTCGGTTCCATAGCTATCTGGATCTTCTCTATACGCTTCTGCTATATACTATAATATACAGGGAGTGTAAAAACAAAGAATTTTATACTATCATTGTAATAAAACATAACAATACTTTGAGTTTACCTGCTTTAGTTTAGGTCCAAAATGAGTATTCTCGGGGCTAACTTTCAATTCAAAACTGATCAAAGGTAATTTCGGGACCGCCTCCATGGTTCCTTACCTTGTATTTAAAACCTGATTCTGCTCTTTAGATTAATTGCACAAATTTCATAAGTAAGGAATTTGTAATACCTAGATTGCTAACATTTTTTGTTTGGGAGAAAATGATAAGTGATTAGAGATGACAAGTCTAAGTTTCACAGATAACAAGTTTACAAAGTTATCGAATATCGATAGTTTTTATTGGTCTTTACGTTTAATTTGATCCATGTAAATGCTTCGATACTACGTAGACAAATAAGAATTTACATATTTTAGACAATTTTAGATAAATGTTGTAATTTTATAATGTTTTGATTATTTTAAATAATTAAAATGTCGAGGCATAGATAACTTTTTTTTTTCCGAAGTAAATTGTGTGAGTTTTTTACTCTGTCGTTCCATGTCATTCACATACTCTATGCACCGGTTTTTTGACAAGACGCTTGTGAGAAGTAAATGTTGCAAAATAAAGCAGAAATAAAACTAAAATCCTTGCTACTGTAATACATTTATGTTAAAGAGTAATAACATGTTCTAAAATGAAGCTTAAAAAGTTAAAAGTTGACAATGACGTAAGCGAAGATATTTGTAAACAAACATGTATTGTTGCTGGTTATTGGTATGTAACACTCCCGCTTTTATAGGTCCCTGTACAACCGGAGCCCGTTGTGCCGCCGCAAGCGGAAATAATAGAAGCAGATTTATACAAGAGATCATACTTCGGTCCCGATGTCCCCACACTGGAATTGGAATGTTGGGAAGAGGAATTGTCGGAAGCCCAACTTCAGGCTTATAAGACTGCTGACGAAGAATATAAAAGTATTCAAAACAAACTTGACGAAATAGTAAAGGACACTGGTGGTGAAATTGTGTACAATGGTGATCAATTCACTGCTTACCAACTTTTAGGAAAGTTAGTATTGTTGCGTTATTAATATAGCAGGGTCAATAATAAAGATAACTACAATGTTTGGTCTCATTTTAGACAACCTGTACTGAAGGATTTGGAACGACAAAGTGCTGAGATAATTAGATCCAGATCTCGTTCCCTTTCTATTAGCAGGGATGCTCTGCCAAAAAGTGGAAAAAGAGGTATGAATAAAATAATCTATAATTTGTTTTTTTTTTTCTTATATTATTTGGGTCTAAGTTGTATATAAATAAATAAAATAATAATTCTATGCATAGGCACCTTTTAAATTTGATAGTAAAATAATTTTGTACTAATATTTATATATGGTTTTATTGTAGGACGTCCCCGTAAAAATAAAGAAGAGGATCGTGATTATTCACCATCATCTGATAGAACTAAGTCTCCAGAACTTAAACATAAGAAGAAAAAGAAGGATAAAGACCGAAACAAAGACAGGGATAGAGAAAAAGATAAGGATGGCACTAAAACTAAGGACAAGACACTTGCACCTTCCAGTAAGTAGCAGAGTATTTACATATTTATGTATTATGATTGTTCCTTGTCATTTTTAAAACAATACTGGCTGTTACCTGAGACTCTGTCTATGCAAAATAAAAAAAAAAACATTAGTCTAGGTGTTCTTCCAGATCATGTTCATTTGTGACAATTTTCAGTAAGATCCATTCAGCCATTCTGGTGATACATAGTAACAAATATCTATACATCCATCAATCTAAACTTTCGCATTACGTAATATTACCAAGAAGTAAGTTTCTTTGCACTCTAGTCAGTTATAATAAAATAAATCATTTTCAGATGTCCATAGTGTGGTTACGAATGTCAGGCCATCAGAAGCAACAGCCATTGGTGGTTTGCTAACAGGCAGTGCTACAAAAACAACCGCTATTGTAGATCTAACTAAAGAAGATAGTAATAAGAATGTTGCGGACTCACGTGAAGTGTCCTTTAATAAACTACAAGGTAAATGAGACATTTAGAACAAATTGTACCTTGTTTATTTTAATAATTTACAACTCCTCAAAGGCCGGCAACGCATCTGCAGTTCTTCTGGTATTGTATGGACATCCGTCCATGGGCGTCGATGAATATCTTGGTGTTCCCACTGCTTGTTTGCCCCCATTCTCTAGTATGAAAAGTATTGAGACTTTTTTTATGTTATAGGCAAAACATTCCCATCTCTGGTGGTGGTTGCACGACCATACCTCCGCGCTAAGGAGATGCCTGCAGCACCATCTGACCGCGCACTCCTGGATAGTAAGGTGAAGTCGGTGCTCATCCACACACCCATGAAGTTCACCGAGTGGCTCATACAGCAAGGTTTGGTGCGCTGCGAGCAGTGGTGCGCGGTACATGCCGGCAACAAGCTCAAACTTGGTCAGTATATTGCCTATTCAAATTTTACCTATGTGCTAACTCACAAATAAGGTTACACTAACTTTTGCATGTGAGTCTCTCGGTGCTGAATTGTTGGGAAATAAAAATAACTAGCTTATATGGTTTTCCAGAAGATTTTCTACATCTGTACCTAATTCCATGTAGATTCATTGAGGTACCTAGACAGAGAGATAGTTGTATTAAGTCATAGTTATAAAGTAAATTTCTCCTTTAATTGTAAAGAAAAAAGTGAATTATCAAAAATGTTCCTTAACAAGTTTAGTTGTTTATTATTTCATTAGTATTAACTAAATGTATTTTGTTTTTTTATGCTATATACTAATTGTGTTTTCAGGTATGTACTCGGATGTGACTAAATTCCCGTATTCCGGTGGCTATGTCTGGATATCTGAATGTTGTCCAACTAGATTTGTCTCTGTATTCTCAAGTTCCATATTCGAAGGCGCCACATTCCCACCCAGTGTATTATTGAAACTGATTTATCACTGGGCGTGTCAGACTAACGTACAAAACGTCGTGCAATGGGTGAAAGTGGACAATTTATATGTGAAAGGATTGTTCACGTGGTTACGAGCCGTTTGTACAGTAGCTATACATCAACATATGGGATTGTTGGGTGGAGGGGGGAAGAAAGTTGAAGTAGGTGTCATATCGCTGGGAACAACGAGCCATGATGGCACTCAGAGACAGGTCAAAGTTGAAGTTTTGGGTGTATTAGATCCTGTTGAAAAATTAGTAAGTTATCCAATATTAATATTTTAATTTTGCAACACTCAGAGTAATCTTAACTGTAGCACTAAATTAAAAGTAAAGAACTATAATTAGCATGTTTTTATATTTTTTTTATCAACAAAAAAGCGCTTGATGATTCCACCTAATTTGAACTTATGGAAGACGCATTCGAAGAATGATATATCTTCAGATATGGCAGTGACAATAAAAATATTTTCAGATTCGTCTCCGTGCAGTTGAGCCATTAGCAGAATACGAGAAGAACTACAAGAAACGTTTCCAGAAGATTCTAGAACCATTGACTAATTGGGTGCATCCCAGTTCAGTTATATTAACAGACTTGACTGTTGACAAGGGAACTTTAGTTTCTATGGGCTTCAAACATGTTGTGCAATCATCCACACATTCGGACCAGCCAGCGAGAAACAGCAACGCTAATATAATGGAGTATTTAAGACGTATTGTACCAAGAATGTTCCAGAACACATTATCACTGCTTTCCAGGCAAATTATACAACAGTTCTTGGATGAACTTGTATGGAGAGAGAGGTATGGCCATACATCTATACCCCTATCTATAAAGACATTAGGCTCATAAAGTCCTCAATAATTTCAAAGTATAGAAATTAAAATTAAATTAACAACTATGATTATTTTACTTGTAAGGTTTGGAGTATCTCCGGGGCAAGCATTTGACAACATAGTGATGCACATATCGGAACAAACCAAGTTGGAAGCGAGGGAGCCAATCACAGTGCGCCTGAACAGGATCGCAGCTAATCCATTCAAAAACTGGAAATTCGGAAAGGTAATTTAAAAAAATAGTTAAATCTGGCTATGGTTAGCAGATCTTTAATACTAAACTGTCATTTGTCATCTGCAGAAAAAAGACCAGGAGCCCGAACCGGAAACGGGAAGAGGTAAACGCGGGAGGAAAAAGAAAGAGCTCTCACCACCTCCCCCACCATCAAAGAAGAAAAAGAAGGAGAAGACCACATATGTAGAGGATGATGATGATGAAGAGGTTGGTTGAATTCAATTGAATTAATATGTCATCTAATTAGTAAAAATTCAGATAATGTTTTCAGTACTAATATTGTAAAGTGGAAAGATTTGTATTTTGTATGCATCGAAATAACTTAAAAACTACTGGGTAATTTAAAAGAATGTTTGATTTTTTCACCATTAGAAAGCAATGTTATATCACTGAGTAACATAGGCTATATTTTTACATGGACAAAGTCACGAGCAACAGCTAGTACATTATTTACATCTTTCAGGTTCCGCTTGCTCTCCGGCGTACAAAGATCAAACAGGAGAAGAACAAAGAGAAAGAGAAGGACAGCGATACAGCAGAGAAGCCTCGGTCGCGGCGTAAGACTGCCCGCTCATATGTAGATGATGAACTGGACGATGTACCACTAAAGAGCATCAAGAAGGAGATCAAACAAGAAGAGACTGTGTCTCTAGAACGATATTACTTCGGACAGACGGGAAGCAATGAAGATATTCCAGAAGTTTCTATCGCTGTTGAGGTAAGAAATCTTTTTATAATCTTGCTAATTTTATAAATGATAATGTTTTGATGGATGGATATATGTTTGTATCTTAGATATCTTGATAATGTTTGGCATAGACAGAACTTTCTGGAATACATAAGCTATTACGTTTTTTTTAATTCCACAAAGATGAAGTGGGAGGCCAAAGCTAATTTGTATTGAATTAACAATTAGAAACCACGTCTAATAATAGTTTTTATTATTTTGAATTTACTTCGTATTGTTTTTGGTATTTCTTATATCAATGAGATTTTACATATATTGTATTGTTATATTCCAGTGTCCGTTATGTCACGTGGAGTTGAACGACGCGCTGTCGCTGACGCGGCACTTGTTCCTGCACGTGTCTCCGGGCGAGGGCGCGCTCTGCCACTACTGCCTGGCGCGCTTCCCGGACGAACAGGACCTCACGGTGCACCTCAAACACAACCACCCCGTTGACACCAAGTCTCCTGAACTCTACACTTACGCTTGTCTTATTTGTGAGGTCAGTTCAATTTTTATAGTACAGATAAGGTTAATATCATGTTTTTTCAAAAGCTTTGTTATCAATGACTTAACATAGGATATATTTAGGGTATTGTCCCACCACTGGCTAATAGCAAAAAAATGACGTCACTGCCAGATAAAGTAACAAAATCCGATATTTCCATCACATTTCACACATTGGATTATTATGTGACAATTTACAACAATTTGGTAGTACTAAGTCTAATTAATGTTGTGTTGTCAGGTGCGATTCGCGGCGGTGCTGACGCTGGCGGCGCACATGCAGAAGGCGCACGCGCCGCGCGAGCTGCCGTACGCGTGCGCGGCCTGCCCCTACCGCGCCAGCGCGCACCGCGCCGCGCTCGACCACTTCGCCGCCAGGCACGCGCGCCACGCGCAGCTGCACTGCCCGCACTGCCTCAAGGTAACGCCTTCCCACTCCCCTCTCGGGGCCCTTGTGCCTAGTCACTCCATGGAGCGCCGCCGAAGCGATCTAAGAGCTCGGTGGCCTCCCAATCCGGTAATAATAACCGAGGCTCCTGAGAGAGCCCTCGAGCTTCGTTACTCATAAACGAGGTTTAGGCTAAGCGCCATCTGCGCTCGGCCACCTCAAGCCCGGTAAATCTGTAAATGCCTTTTCAAGGCAAACAGTGGCCATTCAGGCACAAAAAAAAACCTTTCCAACTATTTTGTACATCTAGCTGCCTAATCTCCTTTATACCTTGCTACTAATAATGTGCTTCAACTGAAAAATTACTTCATGTACAAAGAAGTTACACAAAGCTTGCGGTATAGTTAATGGACAAAGGCCTAATTTTGGTCCCTTTATATTACCACCCTTTTCATATACGGAAAGTGAATTGACGGTAAAGAAGCCGCACAGGAATATCCTGTTATGTGCGTCTCCTTCTCCGTCGATTAAGGGTAGGCAACGCATCTGCAATTTCGAATGTCTATAGGCAGCGGTCGCTTCCCTATTTTAACGGATTTAGGTAGCCGCTTGCTTGTTTACGACCTTATGATATAAATAAATTTAAAAACTACCTAATTCCAATAAATATTGAACAAAATATTTCCAAGGAAACATATCATTTGCAATATACTCGTATTGCAGATGATCACAGTGTACGCGGACGGTTACGAGCTGACCGCCAACGTGCTGTTGTTCATCGACCATCTCAAGCAGCACCAAAATAAGGACCTTGAGATCAGCTGCAACAGATGTGTGCTCAAATTCGTGCATCTCGGTATGTATAGATAAATACAATGCTTACGATAATACAACGGGATTTATCCGACTCGAAGGACCATAAGTTTACACAATAGAATATATGTAAAATTACAGTGAAATACTTTCATAAGATTAAAAAGTCATAAAGTGTTTTAAAATTAAGGGCTTTTCTTGATTTAGGAATTAAATGAATCCTTTAATAAATATTATACTACAAATGTAATTCAGGTCAACTGAAGGAACACCAAGTGAGGGATCACGTATCAGTGGAGGATGCAATGCCGCTTTGTTCTGAAGAGCATTTGATCAATAAACCGAAGGTATGAACATACATTTCAAATAGTTATGTAACACCCACTATTATATACTACTATACTAGCTTTCGCCCGCGATTCTGTCTGCGTGAAGTAAAAAAAGTAGCCTATGTGTTCTTTCAGACTATCCTCTACATCTGTCAAATTTCATCTTAGATTAGGCTACAAACTGTAACAAACATCCATCCATATAAACTTTCTATTATTATATTACTAGTTGTTGCTCGTGACTTCGTCTGTGTGAAATTAAAAAATGTGGCCTACAGATAAATTACCTTTCTAATGGTAACATTTTTTTTAATCAGCCCACTATTAATCAAATATATATAAAAATACAAATCATTCCTCTTTATAACATTAGTATGAACTAGTATTAATAATAAAACTAATATGTTATAATGTTTTGTGGTGACAGAACAAGGCGCGGCCGCCAGTGAAGGACTCCGCCAGCCACGCCATCAGCGACACGTACGAGCAGCTGACACTGGTGCTGCCCGCTGGCTTGCTGTGCCGCGAGTGCGACACGCCGCTGGACAGCGACAAGCACTTCCTGTACGTACACTGATAACTGAACTAATTTACTGTATTGTGTTAGAGAATCATATGACTGTTGGCAATTTGGTGAACTATGTCTAGAAAGTGTAATATTTAGACTAAAGAGTGAACCCCAACTGGTGAATGTCGCCATTTTTATAATTTCTGAATTCCAGAAAAATTCTCATGTTCTGATACACTGCTGATACCAACACTGGACAGAAAAGTGTAAAGTCTACTTCCTTGAATAATTCTAAAACTGTACCAATTTACATAATAATCATTACTACGGGCACTTATAAGTTCCAAATCAGAGAATTTCAGAAGGTGGGAATTTTTTGTTTAGGGGTAACTCTAAAAACTAACAGGCCTTTACAATATCAAAATCTACCATAAAATCCTTGTATCTAGACTGAAATAATTTAATTTAAAACGTTTATTCGTAGGGGTTATACGAAGTGCAGCAAATGTCCGTACGCGACGTCGTGCTACCGCGCCATGCTGAACCACAGCGGCTGCTGCGCCGGCCCGCACTCGCTGGAGGACGCGCCGCGCGCCGCGCCCCGCCCCGCGCACTGCCTCTGCGGGTACCGCACGCACGTCGGTCAGTGCTCGCACTCAACACACACCACTCACCACACACACCACACTCACCACTTATCAATCATCAGTCACCACTCGCCAGTGACCACACTCATCAGTCATCAGTCACAACTCACCAGTCATCAGTCACAACTTCAGTCACCACACCCGCCACTAAATACTTCACACACATCAATCACCACTCACCACACACAACACATTCACAACACACCACACTCATTAGTCATCAGTCACCATTCACCACACGCAACACACAACACACTCATCACTCACCACTCACCACACTCATCATCCTCATCATCATCACCCCTAACCTATCCTACACCCGTAAGGTCAAGGCGAATTCTCGTCCTCCAAATAACTATCATCCGTCATCTAAGTCACCACTTCCCTGATCATGTCACCATTCACGTAATCCATCAACCTCTACCAATGTACCCCCACCACACTCAATATATACTAATACTAGCTGTTGTCTGAGATTTTGTCCGAGCAGTATTGAAAACAATTCCAAGTACAAAAGCATAATAAACATCCATCCTTTTAAACTTTCGAATTTATAATATTAATATGATTAAGAACTAAGATTAGTAGATGTTATGTAGAATGTCAGCAAAGAACCAAGATCATGATAATTGTCAGCCTTGTAATTTTTATATTTAAATTTTGACTTTTGCTACGGTAAAAGTTAGTAACAACTAAATCACCATGAAATCAACAAGGTTTTATATTTGTGATACAGGTACGGACATGTTGACGCACTTGCTGATGTGCGAGCGCAAGACTGCGTACAGCTCGGAGGAGGAGGCGCGCGCTCACCTCGTCAATGCGGACGAGCACGCGAACAAGCTCGCCGTACTGCCCGCACACACCGCACACACCTCGCCTCTTGATACTGTGAGTTAAACGTTACCACTGCATTCCAATCCAGCGCAACACTGGAATTATGTAAAATGACCTTTATGACAATACTAGCTGTTGCCCGCGACTTCGTCCGCGTGGTATTAGAAAACATACGAACTACATAAATAACAAAAAGCTACGTATCCCTCGGGAACCGGACATTTCTCGAGGATGAACCTTATCCCATGTGTACTCTATACTTTGTTTTATATCTGTGCCAAATTTCAATAATATATCGAACCATCGCAGAATGATTAAGAAAACATTAAAATACTAAATCAATGAATTCCACGGGAACCGTAACTATTCCCGGGATAAAAAGTAACCTATGTGTTCTTCCAGACTATGCTCTACATCTGTGCCAAATTTCATCGAGATCCGTTAAGCCGTTTAGGCTACAAACGCTAGCAAACATCCATCTATCCATCTTAATTTTCGCATTTATAATATTTATATGATTTCAGATGTATCTATTACTTAATTTCAGTCTAAAAGTATATACTTAGGCCACATTGACCATAGACCAAGGATATCTGATCTAGTCATACAGTAGTGTCATCTATTATTGGTTACCACGGAAGACCAGCACATATGCTGAGTGGTTTTCAAATAAATAATATACCTAACAAAAGAATTTAAAATCTGTGTTAATTTCTATGTTTAAATAGGATTTTATATTTTCTTATAGTAGTAACCGAAATAATGCCTCTCTCCTTTAGTTAAATATTATTCGTCTATATATGTAATCAACGAAGGATAACTGACTTTCTTTGAAATCGACTACACATTTGTGCCTCTCAATAGATGGGTTTAATAGTTTAAAAAAACGTAAAAGCATATATTAATGGTTTAATATGTCATCAGCCGCTGGAGAGTCTATCATCGCTGTCAGAGTACGCGCCGCCGTCAGTGATCAACACGCAGCTCTCGCTGGACGACCTCGCGCCGCCCTCCGTGCTGCAGCCAGACCAGGTATACAGAATATACTAATAAACATTTCTATACGAATGACATTTTAAAAAATGTGACAGTCGACCGGTGATGAGCAATGCTGGTGAATTATTATAAAACGATATATATATACACTAAGGCAACTACGTAAAAGATATCGAACGTTCCGTGGCGACGACTAGAAATGTAATGACCTACTTAGCTCCTGAGCGACTGAAGCAACTGAGGTACTGATGGCTAGAGAGCTTGTTAGCAACTGAGTGCAACTGACTGCGCTCTTAGTCAGTTGCACTCAGTCGCCAGTCACTCCTTGCAAAGACTTTTATGAAACTACCCCTCACTACTACTTCCGTTTCTATTATTTTGTAACACTAATATTATAACAAAAATCATATAAAACCAACTCCATATACCATACTTGTAGTTAGATTCAATGAAATATTACAAACTTGTCCTCAAACTCATAGAAAATGTTTTTAAAATAAATTTGCCCTCCATAATTTTAATGTAATAAATTCCTTAATCATTGTTACGTAAGATGTCAGCATTCACAGTATATTTTTAAATTACTCTTTATTAAATAAAAAACCCTGCATTTTTACGCACTGTAGGCTATTTTTTCGCCCTATTAAACTTAAGAGATAAATAGATTTAAATAACTATCATGTGGGAAAGATACCAAAACTACACGCCAATAACAAACCAGAAACAAGGTTTCCATGGTAACGGTAATCGAGCCAATAACAAAGGCCTTCATTGTCATTTAACTATAAAAAAAAATTGACATTGAATAAATGTAATTGAATTTAATTATAAACAATTTAGCACGAGGCGGAGCGCCTGTCGGAGGCTTACGACCGGCCGCTGGCGACGCCGCGCCGCGAGGAGCACTACTCGCTGGGGGACTTCGAGCCCCTGCCGCAGGAGCCCCCGCCGCAGCCGGACTTTGAACAACTATAATACTTATATTTGCATATGCAATAAAACATTTTCATATATCATATATTTTAATTTTACACAGTTTATTTTATTTTACAATCTGTCAAATCGTCATTTTTCCATTGTAATATTTTTGGGAATAAAAATATTAAAGCCAAGATTTAGTTTATAGGCGTAGATTAACTATATTACTTTTTAGATTGTAGTAGTTATTGGATATCAAGATAAATTTTAATTCAGACAATATGTTTTAATATGTATAACATCTACAAAGTAGATTTGAAATAAAAATGGTAAAGAAGTAATTGTAAGATTATGTTTTCTAGTTTATTACAAATGTAACATTTTATTATGCCACTGCATCACCAGCTTCAATATTATGTTTAAATAAACATGTTTTAAGAATAAATTGTGTTTTTCATTTTTCTCCTTCTTTTCTTAAATGTTAATGTGGTTTTGTTGGTAACACCATAATCTTCAATAGGATTTGCATTATTGTCCAATATTATACCATCAAAGCTCAAGTTGTAAGTCTTCCAAATGTATTTCCAAGATATTTTCACTTTGCTGCCAGTCCTTTTCTGATGTATCTCAAAATGTCTGGCGATTGCTTTCTTTAAATCACCAACACTCGCAGTTTGTGGTACCTGTAATTACAAAAAAACACTTTATTTGTAAAAAAAATTAATTTGATAAAGATTAAACAAACTCAATTTTAACTGAACTGTCATACTTCAACTGAAATTGGGATGTGTATAAAAGCTGAAAATGTGTAGTTTTTTTTTTAAATATAAGGTGGCAAATGAGCAACCGGCCACCTGAATCCACCAAAATGGAAAGCGACCGCTGCCCATAAACATACGAGATTGCAGAGGCAATGCCTACCCTTAGTTGACGGAGAAGGAGACGCACATAAAAAGGATATTTCCCCTTCCTATGTGTCAAATCCACTTTTCTTTCTCATCTTTTCCTCTTAAGAAGAGGGTGGAAAGGGAAAGGGACTAAAATTAGGCCTAGTTTAACTAATAGTTAAAATTATGCCTACACATGTCAGTGTTACTGTGTGGATACACTTTAGGTCCATTGGTTAAAGAGTTATTTTTTCAATTGACAACAACTGGTGTCGCAATAAAAGCTGGCACTTACAATCACTTTTAATACAGGTTCATCTTCTCTTGATATTAAGATCCTTATTGACTGGCCATGCTCCACTGCTATCTATAATTATATTAATTGACATATTTAGTGCAAAGTAAATGTTTTTGGTTAATGAAATATCCTATACTAATCAAATATGGAAACATTAAAAATATGAAATGAGTCAACAATGCAATAATTATTACTCTGGCCAAAAAAATTCATTGGTTTAATTTAAAACTTAATACCTGAGACAAAATTTCTTCTATAATAATGTCTGAAGGTAAATCACGTAATAGCGAATCATTTTTGAACAGTTTGCTAAGAGAGGATTCTGTAATTTCGAGTAGTTCGTCGTGCGTTACGTTGTTTGCTAAATCATCAATTTCATCCATGTTACAAAAGTTTACTTCTTTTTCTTATCTTCATCTTAATGTTTGTTCCTTCTAAAAATTACAGACTTATTCAAATTCTTTCGATTATCGAAAATTTTCGAAAAGTGATTGTTGATATTTTGAAAGTTAAATTTGACAGTTTGACGTTTTATTTTTATTTACTTAGTCAATGTCAAGTCTGTAGTCACTAAAAGCTAAGGACTAGTTAACGTAATGCCAGCTGGTTCAAGAATTTGAAAGTATTCAATCTTTACATAATTTTCAACATAAATTAATGACATTAAAGGAAAATAAGCAAACTTGTAACAAAATAAATAACCTGAAAAAGTTGTATGGTTTACATTTGACAATTCTATGCTTCCACCACTTTTTAATCTGCATTCAACCCAATTTTTTTTAAATTCCATACTCTCTGGTCGTTTTGAGTTTGACATTTAATTGAATAAAATTGAGGTTAGAAAAATTTCTGAGCTATTGAGCTGGTTTTTAAAAATTAACATAGTAAAAGATAATAAGAAATCTTATTTTGCTGGTATAAGGAAAATCATCAATTAAGAATGGATTCTTTATCTTCTGGATCATTGAGTGGAGTACAGAAAGAGGAGCTTATGGACCAAGTCAAACAACAAATTGCAATAGCTAATGCTCAAGAGCTTCTTACGAAAATGTCTGAAAAGTGTTTTAAAAAGTGTATCGGTAAACCCGGTACCGCTTTGGATAGCTCAGAGCAAAAATGTATTGCAATGTGCATGGACCGGTACATGGACGCATGGAACCTTGTCTCACGGACTTACAGCACTCGTATTCAACGAGAAAGAAACAATATGTGAAATTACAAAGCATTTACATGGTGATGACTTGAAACAGTTCTGTAAATAGAGAGGAATAGTAGTTTCTGGGCAATATTCACTTGTGAGTTATATGCAACTGGTTGTTTGTTGTGTTATATAATAAAATAATATAGTTTGAGTTTTCTATATTCTTTTATTGAAGACTATTTTATATGAATCGTGTTTCGTTTTATTTAGCTTTACCACAAATCTTTCAATAGTAATTGTATCATGTGAAGACAACACTGAGATTAAAGAAGTCACTAAAATAATTGTACATTCACAAAAAAATCAGTATACAAAAATTTAATTTGACAATAAGTACAACAATAAAAACATAAACCAAAAATATAATTTATTTATTAAATATTGTTTGTAATTTTTTACCCCACTTGAGTTTTAAAATGCATAACTGACAAAAAGAGTATTTTACATATTTTATGTAAAATACACATAATCTTGAACTCTAAATTTCGCCTTTAAGCATTTTTTTCCTATACTGGTAAAGTTTTTTCACCCACATTTCTTTACGCTCTTCTTCACTTGGTATTTCCTGAAATTAAAAGAATGATCAATCAATTTACATCTTATTAATATTGTAAATGCAAAATTTTAGATGGATGGAAAGAAAGTATCTGGATCTTGATGAAATTTGACACAGATCTGTAGAACACAGTCGGGATGTACACAAGCCACTTATTAGGTTTTTTTTTATTTCAGTGTGGACAAAGTGCTGCACAATACCTTTCCATTTGCATCCTCTTTCACCTAAAATTATGTTCTGTGCAGGAACTCATGTAAAGTTCACAACTGTCTAGTTATATGAATACTATAATAATTCAATTACTATAATACTAACCCCATACAACGAAAGAATAAAAAAGAAGTGAAAAGAAGTATAAAGAAACTCACATCAAAATTTATAATTGAATCGTCATTGTTCAATTTAATATCCAATTCTGGGACTTTAACCGTTTCTGAATTCAAATCTATTACAATGTTCTGGGATTGCTTTTTATTTCTCGATGATGAAAATGACTTTGGAACAAAACTATCACTGTTTAATTCCGCTATTAAATTTCTATCATGTATTGTTGGCATGTCCTCTTTAATTTCTATATCTTTATAGTCATAATTTGGTATCTTTGTCATGGTCAAACCAACTGCTTCTGCTGCTTTGATTGCCTTTTCTACTTTTATCTCTGTATCATCTAGGTTTGGTCTTCTTGAGGTTACTTGGTGATCTGCGAATAATTTAGAAATGCTTATTTTAGATATGATACATTATTAAGATATTGAAGTAAACCATAGTCTGGTGCTATTACTTTTGTATATCATAAAAACTATGACTTGTAACTTATTCTTTGTCTACAGTTAAATTACAATTTCATCTGAAATTACCTGATTCATAAGAGCTTCGACTGCTTGATGACAGTGATCTCTTATGTTTTTTACTACTTTTGCTATATTTAGATCTACTCCGAGAACTTGATCTTGAGCGGGAATAGTCTCTAGACAGAGATCGTTTCGAGCGTTTCGCTTTGGATCGAGACGAAGATCGTCTCCTAGACTTTGTCTCGTAACGCTCCTTCGAAACACTACGGGAATAGCTTCGGCGTTTGTATTTTGATCGTGAAGTCGAACGCTTTCTTCTATGACTGCTAGACTCCGAACGATCTCGTGTACGTGAACGTCTTTTATGTTTGGATTTAGTTTTTTTTCTTTCATATGATTCTTCAGAACTGCAGGACGAACTACGTTTTTCCCGATATCGACTCTTTTCTCGTGGCATAATAAGAATTTGTTTACGCTATGCACCTATTTGAAATTCAAAATCGACATAAAACATTGAAATGAAGTCAAAATTTACATGAAAACATTAAATCATGAATCTAAAATTACATGACGTTTTTCGTTTATAAATTTGACAGCTTTACAGTAAAGGCACAGACGAAGACAGTTGCACAGAGTGCATAAACATTCATGAATATGATCAAATATTTTTACATAATATAATTTTGAAATATTAATTATCTGATTAACAAAAAATAAACGTTGCAATTTTGTAAAGCTTTTAAAATGAACATTTTTAAATACAATTGACAGCTAAGCAAACATGCGTAAGATGGAAACAACTTAGGGCAGCGACCAGTTATAGTCGGCCTCGATGACGGAATGTGTGAAATTATAAGATGGTGATGAGCAGTGTTTTCTCATTTGTAGATTAAGTATCAATTATAGGTGCTATAGTTTATTAGAGAAATAATAGTAATGCGTCCAACGTTGTGATTGAATAAAACATAAAAATATATTTTGTGTAGTGCACTTGCAAGTGTTGAACGTGTTTAGTTGGATCATTGACATTGTTTCGTTAGAAAATTTTGAACCCGTCGCGTTTGATATGTTTATGCTTGCATTGTGTACCTTCAGTAGATCCAGCAAATGGATTAAGCGTTTCTGATGTTTTCAAATCCATGGAGAGGAAGGAGCGAACATATGCCAACATGGAGGCCACAGATACTGTGGACACCAAACAGGTGAGGCCGATATCATTATAACTGCCGGTTGATCGCAGTTTCACTTCTCTGTGCACATGTTCTTTTGTCAAATATTATATTAATGTGTGATAAACGCTGTTTTTTAAACATTCTTCATACTTAAGTTATTTTTGTAGTCAAACACAGTTTTGCAACATTTTGATGACATATAATGCAATGATTTTAGAATGATAATCATTAAAAAGGTCATTTGAGGAATTTCACGCAAGTTCTATTAAATTATAATGTCTGAATCATTAAATAAAACCAAGGTGGAGTGTGGGTGATGTAGACTTCAGCCCACACTGAGGCAGAATAAATTACCAGCATTAGAACATTGTTATGTTCCATACTAGTCAAACAGTATGTGTGGGGCCTCCTTTTGTTCATGCACCTTATGTGGATATTCATAATTTGATTTCTATAAAAAAGAGACAAATCATATCTTGATAGAGTTATCAAGAGTGATTTCTTATTTGTTATTATGAGTTCTTATCTTATATTGTTGAAGCTCCTGTTATTTGATAATGAAACAACTGCATTTTTTGCCGTTTGTTTTGAATACACAATTACTACATTCACATGAAAATTTACCATCATGATCACCTGCTCACTATATGTCTCCATTGAAAGGCTGAAAGCCTTTTTTTTCAGAAGGGAATGCTTTATGCAAACTCCGCACCTGGGAAGTGCGGTAGTTATGTGGGATTCTCCCCATAATGGGGCATACAAACTAAACCTCTCTGTTCCTCTAACACTGCTTCGGCCCTTAGATAAGGATGACAGGTGCCTCTGAACCTCCCAACACAGGGCTATGGGAGCCAGGAAGGCAGACATAAACCAGACCTACCCAACCCGGCAAGGGCTGGGAGCCTTAAGAGGGTGTGACTATTTGGTCAATGACAACAATTGTTTAATTCATAGAATCGAAAATAAATATAACTTGAAATACAACACAAGACTCAATGTTATTAGGTGATGGACTGCTTGGAATCTCCTTCTCCTGTAACTGTTAACTGTTAACAGTATTAAAGTCTGAATGACATATACTTACCATAATTGGACAGCCATTTAGATTACAGAGAGTAATGGAATTCACGTCCATAATCTACATTTATTGTCACTTTTTAATATATATGTGAAACACATATTTCATATGAAAAAACACATTGTAAAAGTTTTGTACCTTGGTGCAATTTTTAAAAGAGTTAACATTAGGCTATGAAAGGCAAAAATTGTAACAGAAATATCTCAATATTTTATTGAGGTAATTGAGTTTATTATACAAACAAATGACCACTTTACAAGTAGTTTATGATAAATTAAAGGTTTCTCATAATAATATTTACAATTTGCTAAGTAATTATACTCCTACTTAACAAATTAATGCACTTAAGCAAAATCTATTAAATGTCTTAAATTACTGGATTAAAAAGTGTTTATTAACATGACTATTAAATTTCACTAATAATTACTATTTTTAACATTATTAATTGTTTATTTTATATAAAAAAATATATATTTTCTTTATCTGCAAATTGACTATGTTGTGTAAAAATTACCTAATATCTCTAAAGAAACCTACATAAATATGTAAAAAAACGATAAAAGACATCAAACAGTCCCTCTGGTATTGTCCCATTTAATTACCATGCCTTACGAAACTAATATGACGGAAACGGACGACTAACAAATCTGTATATCATCAAACAGTGGTCTAACGCGTTGGTAGGGGAAACCGCGGCGCCGCAGTTTGACGGCGGGCGCGAGACGGCGCGCGCGCAGCCGAGGAACGCGCGAGAGTTATGTGACCGTACCAGTGGTGCCATTCCTCTAGTACCATATATCTATTAATTTGGTACCAGCCTATTACTGCAGTACCAGTAGCCTAACTTTGGTACCGGTGGCCTATTAATTTGGTATCCGTTGATTTCTTTAATACTAGTTTTCTACTGCACTACCAGTGGTCTAGTCCGTAGTTAATAGTGTGGTGCTGTGCTAAATATGGTAGCCATGGTGGCCTCCGCGTCTGGATACGGTACACTGCGCCGTTTCTTGAGCGCCCCCGACGGTCAGGGTGTGGATGTTACTGGGGATGTCGCGACAACCACTTCGGTTGCTGTTTCGGTAAGGATGTTACAGATTGGATATGTATGAAAACACGAATTCTATATACTCCTATCAATGACAGTTTAGATTCAAATTGTAAATAAAATCTGCTTTGTTTTATGGCATATTTTATGTCTGTAAAGGAGGTTAAACTGTTAGTAAACGCGTGTATACAAAACTAGTCTGCCTTGGTAATTTATTCTATATCGTTAACGGCTTTGATTTAATATTATCAAGTACTTGTTTTGTATTGCTATGGACGTCCAAGGAATGTATATAATGACGACACTTGGTCGCGTTACGAAGCCTTGCATATCGATATTTCGCTGTTTATTTGATAAAGCGATAACACACCTTAGTTTGTTAACATAACAATCATGAACTTTACGATAAGGAAGCGTTTTTTAAAAATAGTCATGATTTATTTGACATTTTTTCCTTGTTAACATTCTAATGTTTTGTATACTAGATTGATTAAATCGGTAATGTCTGAACTGGACTTCCTTAACGAGTTTATCTGAAACGGAATTTGGTTTTAGTACATTTGTAAAGAATATAGAATTTAGTAAAGTAATACCTAATCTAACTTTAACATATTATAACTATTACTCGGCAAGAAATTTTGTTCTAAGAAAAATCTTAAGAATTTCTATTTTATCATATTAAGCATTTCACCGCGTAAGATTTAATCCGCACGCAATTACTACTGTAAATTGTTAGAAAGTAAGTCATTATATCTATTGTAAATCATATTAAAATATCTAAATAAGATACCAACAAAAAGCTCGACCGACACGAATGCTCCCAAGCCGCTAATAAATTTCTAATTCGGTTAGTCAGATCGTAAAGTAACGTAAAAATCGATTCATTTCTTATTTAACGCTTAGTCCATAGTCGGCGAAGTTTCAGGCGGCCGGTGTCGTGCGATATTAGGTTATTAAAAAAACTACGGCTATTAGACCGCTGTGACCGGCCAAGGCGGGGTCGTTAGCCCGACTTTCCTTTTTAAGTTGGCGCTTGGAAACGTTCCCATCGATTTTTATACGGCCTTGTCGAGACACATGGTGACCTCCTACATAGTTGTAGTTATATCGATGATGTCACCGTCATCTGGCCACCGGGATGCGGGATGGGGCAGGATTGACTGCCAAGGTTGGCCCAACAGACCGTGGCAACATCTCGAGTGCACGGCTCGTTGGTTGCTCGCGAAAGGAGAACATCGCAATGATGTTTGTCGACCCACATCATCTACAGATATTTGCCCATACCAAGTTTGACCAAGTCGAGTAATTTAATTCAATTTAATATTGGAAATTAAATCTGAACTAATATCTTGTACCATCCAAGCTATCTCTTCGGCGTAAGTTTGTAAACACTTTTACGTCAATTCGAGTAAAGAAACAGCCCATGTTGGTAATAATAATAGTAATAATGGTCCGGGTTGTCTCAACTCTTGTGAAACTCTTAATTATGTTTGAGCTTTTAGGTAAAAGTTAAAAGGATACCGCGGGGACGAACTTCAGGTCGGGAAAAAAATTTCTTAGTGTCAGGTAGATTGCAAGAATTTCAGTGATTTTCTTGTTACACTCTATATTCTGTAATAGAGATTATTGATAAATCCTATAATCAGAGCGATACTAATAATGTTGTAAATTCTTTAACAGCATTACTGTCTAGACGTTTTTCTGGTAAGTAATAGAAATTTGAATTTTCCTTATATTCTGTACCCCATAATACAATCATAAGCGCTTTTTACAACGTATTATAACATTTAAAACGGTAATTTCGTAACCGTGACACCTTTCTAATAGCCCGATGTACTGTTTACTAAAATTATATTTTTTACTCTACATTTTAGTTAATTAATTGAGCTGACCTCTATTTAACCTTAGTTTAACATAAAAAAGTTACTTTATAGTCCTATTGTACAAGTTTTTCAGTATTTTTTAAAATGTGAAACGAGCATTAAAATGTATTGTAAGGTATTTTATACAAGAGCTTAAATCGAAATCTGAACCGAATGTTTGTTCGTAAAACTGAAAAAGCGGCCAAAGGGAATCATAAAACGAGATATCTCTATAAATTTCGCGCAGTGAAAACTCCGCCGGACCAATACAATTGCGATAATGAAAACGTGTAGTGGGTAGTATAAAACGATTGTTCGACCACCTTTCCCACTGTTTCTCAACACATTTGTTAAAACGGCTTTATTTTGTATTGAACATTTGAATACTTTCATAATTTATCACGGCCTTATCGAATCTACTTTTCATTTGAGCTAAATTGTAATGCAGCAATTTTTCATATCGCGTGTACACACAATTCTTATTTTTGTGTCGTAATTAACAAAAAATTTTTGGCTTTGTGTTCTTATAAAATCTAAATTTAAACATGATAGAATCGCTCCTATTAGCGCTTTCAAAACTGAACATTTCAGTAATAAAAATATTTTTTTAATTCACGGTCTAAAAAATAAAGGTCTGTTGGATACCTCCATTGTTGTTTTTGCTTGAACTAAAAGTATGTTTAAAGGTAAACATACTAAAGTATGTTTCTTCACATACAGGTCCTTGTCGTACCATTTTTGTAGTGTATATCCTGTCTGTCCATTTTTCTGTTAAGTCAATTTATACTGAACTTCCGGACAAAGTTAGAGATAACTCATATTAAATACGTGATCGGAATTGCGGGAAACGACACTGTTTGCTGTAGGAATTCTAATTATACGAAATGTCATTGGAAACTAGTATACAAAGGCTTTTATTTTTAGATCAATATGAGTAAAATCGATAATTATTCCGATATAGATAATTTATAACGGCTATTTTTTTTTCCTTCCGTTTGTTTAGCTTTGTGGTCATGAGAATTACGCGTCTAAAGATTTCCAAAAC